TAATAGACGACGTTCTTCAAAAAGCGTAAACCCCAAAACCCCAAAACCCCATGAAGAATTAAATAAGTGAATTCTAGAAATACAAATTGGATAAATTATTATTAGACAATGAGAAAAATTGTTATGGTTTGAAGTATTTTCATCCTGAAGAACCTCCAGATAAAAGCTGCTCTACCATGTTAAGAGTCATTATAATAAGTCCAAGAATTATTCCAGATCCGAAAACTCCTATCAAAATTTTCCATTGCTAATCATTAAACAATCTCTTCTTTTATTACTTCCTCTTAAGATCTTCTATTTCAGAATCTTCACTCTCAAGTTCAGCCAGTTATTCTTCTAATGTCTTAGTTGGAGCCTTTTCTTTTTCTTTCCTATTTTATGGCTGATTTTCCTAAGGCTATTAATCATTCCTCCCGCTCATAAAGTTATGAAATTAAGATTAAAATTATAATTATAATACTTAAAAATATTCATCAACTATTTCCAGATCTCATCATTATAAGTGTTTAATTAGCTTGCCTATAGTTTCAATCATTTTAAGAACATAATCACTATCAAAACAATAACAACAACAGCAACCACCACTCCAAATATTATGAAATTTCTGAACAAGTTCAATTTAGGCATCTTAAGTTTTGAAATATCTATATTAGCCACTGTCATAATCTTATCTCCTAGTCCTCTACCTTCGGTTGGCTTTTCTAGTCTAGGATTTTCATTTGGTTCATCCCAAGCCTCACCTACAGGGGAAGATTCTGCTTCTGCTTTTGAGAGAATTTGCATTGATATCAATAATTATCCGCAATCCTCATCTTTTTTATTTGGATGATGGAACGACAGCCAAGTTTTTGGAATATCAAGTCTGCCTTCTTTTTAAAGCATGCCTAATGTCCTAGTAGTATGTGTGTTAATAGTTTTAAATCTTACTTTTTCAAATTGAGAATTGCTTCGCCTATTGCCTCATCATTAAGCAGTCCATAGTCATAAATCTAAAATTTTAGTCTTGGAAATTCACATGGGGTTTCTATTCCAAACTTGAATCTGTAGTTAAATATTCCTCTACCATCCTTAGATCCATAGTGCACATCTGTTAATTTCTCAATTTCATTTCCTGACCAACCTGTAGGATCAAATAATACTTTGCAATAGATATCTACAGAATCACCATTTACTAGTGGTACATCTCTGGTTTCCCAGACAATAAGCCTTATTTCGTATTCATCCTTGCTCTATACTTGCAATCTAGCCATTGGGGTTCTTCTAGCCTCTTCAATAGTCAATACTTCAACCCACATCTCTACCATTCCTTAAGTTTATTTCTTATTTGGATGTCTCAACTCCCTAAATTCGACTGCTACAGGTTTTTAATCAATATCTTTTATTAAAGACTATTCCTAAATAATTTCATCAATTTTTTTCTTCTTAGACATGATAAACCTTTAATCTGGATTCTCCTTTCTATCTTCAAGTAGGATCTCTTTTTAAGCCAGCTCTTTGTGAATTTCTAAACTATCACAAATCTATTTTCTAAAGTTTCCATAATATCTATCTTCAATATCAAGAATTGTGGATCCTATAAGTGCATCAGTATATGTTAAGCTTCCCTTATCATGAATCTAAATTTCAACTTTCCAATCCTCAGGGAAATTAGCATCAAATTCATATGACCTGAAGAATTTAGGGTTTAAATCTTATTTTATTTCTTTGTCCCTTTCATTGACATATTTAACCTTCTATTCTTAAATGTCATTTTTACCATCGCCTACTATAATCACAGGAAATGGATCAGCTGAACAGAGAGCTTAAAGACCAGCTAGTTTAGATTTCAGATCTAAATATGAATCCAATGCTGATAAGTTTTGGCATGTTAGTAAATATACTCTCACTTTGAAGCTAGTTTTCTGTATTAAAATTGTCCTCAAAAATTTCTCTTATGTTATATCAAAGGGATAAATCTATTGGATCTCTAAAGTCTAATTACTCATACTATTAATTACTTTTAAGAATAGCCTGCTCCTTATCTTCATCGTCTTTTTCATTGAGTTTTGGACTTAACAATTCTCCAATTAAAGTTAACCCCTATTTATTATCAGTTTTTCCATTTCCATTGTTATTCTATGGTTAATTCACAGATTCATCATCACTGTCATCATCTGAATTATCATCTGCTCGCTTGACTTTAATTGAGGCTTTAAGAGTTGCCCCTGTAATAGCTCCACTTCTTAGCATCCCACTAAATATGTTAAAATACAAATTCATTTAAATTACCTTACTTGCGCAGTCTTTCCTCCATAAGCTGCCTGAGTAAATAATGGAAACTATCCATAGGGTAGTTTAAGTAGATTTTCATAAGTACCTTCTCTAATTACTTCTCTCCCATACTAAAATTCCTCTTGCACATCATCCATAACATACCCCCAGAATTTTTACTCGTTCATTCTTTCATCTTAAAGTTACTAAATAATATTTTTGAGTTCTAGTAGTTCTAGTTTCTTCTCTTCTTTCTTCTCTCGATTTTGAATTTACTGAATTTGATACATTAGTTTGTCCGATCTCTTTTCCAACTCCGATATCTTACCAATTCTTGCTCTTTCCTCATCTATCTTCATTTAGGGAGTGCATGCTATCTCAATAACATTATTCAAATCAATTAACACTCCATCCTAGTTAAAGCTTTTTACTTTTTATTTAGTTTGCTTCGATTTCTAAACTAATTCCTCACTAGAATCTAAATTATTGTGTTTTCCTTATTTTTCATTTCCTTAGTTTCTTATCTCCAACCTTATATCATCAGGATCAGCGTCCTAATCACTTTCATTTGCATATTAATTAATTCCATCCATATCCATAGATTAGTCAAATTCTTTAATCTTCATTCCACCAGCCATGTTGAACCCGTAATCAGATTAATTCTAATCATCAATGTCAGAATCATTCTCTTTATTTTTATCTTCTGTAGTGTATAATGTATCGAAGTTATTATCTTTATTGTCTTTCTGCTGTTTATTATAAAACTTCATGGGGTTTATCAATTTTTAAACTAAGCTAATCTTATTTTGATTTTTGTTCAACTAGCTCTTAGCAAATTTGATATCTTCAGGCCTTATAAAATCAGCGAATTCAAATATCGGTATAATGGCATAGCACTATTCGCAGCCCCCTAGTCCAAACATATTACCTTCATCTTTTATTGTAATTTCTAATTAAGGCCACAATAAAGGTTCGAAAGGCAAATCAACATTTTTAAATTGTAGAATTTTTCCAAAATTAGGATTTTTTGAATTCATAGGATCATCGAATTTCACAGTTTACTCTCTTTTTTTAGTATCATTTGTTAATCTAAAGGTTAGAATTGGTCTCTTAGCAAAATATATCAAATTTCTTATTCCTACCAAAGATATAACGATGTTTGTTTTAAAAGCTATCCTAGTGATTTAATTGAATTCTTCTAAAATATTAGTAATATCATCCTTCTTCTTTTTGAGATCTATTTCTTTCAAGAAGAATCTAGCTAATACTTATCCTTAAAATGAACCCTCATTGTCAATTATGTTAAAAAATTGTGGCTTCGAGTAAAGTTTCTTGCTTATCGAGGTAATTGGGACACAAAATTCTCCAACTATCTCTTCTTAATCCCTTTTAAGTATCATAGATTTAGAGCAGTTATAGAGCAAGACTCTCATATCAGAAGCAAACTATAGATTTTTGTCTAGTACTATGTCTTTGATTTTCAGTTGATTCCAAACAGGAAATCTGCCAAGAGCCGGATCAGTTGTAATACCCTCTTTTTAGACAGCTACATTTCCAATCTTTATATCTATTTTGGAATTTAAAGCATCTTCCTTAAACTGTGGACCAATATCATATCCTGATAAAAGCTAGGCAAATATTCTATAACTAATCTCAACTCCTCTCTACCTTGGAAATCTCTCAACATCAATACCTTCCCAGAGATACTAAACATTCATTAGAATGATTCCTGGGCATGTCTTATCATTTAGAGGACTTTTGAGTCTGTACCATTAGGGCTGAGGTGATTTACGCTGACAGTCTCTAGCAGGTATACGAATGTAGCCAATTCTATACTCTCCTTTGAATGTCTTCTCTGAATATACATTGATAATGATATCAGGATTTTATTTTATTTCATTAGGAAAATCTACAGTCAAAGTCTTTATTGAAACTTTAGGCCAAGTGTAATTCTTTGTAGTTTCTTTATACTTAGCCACATGCCTCTAAGTATTATAAGAGCCGATAGTAGCAACAATCCAAACTTAATTTCCATTAGCTTCATCACAATTAACGAGGTCGTAAGTATCCACCCATAGCATAAATTTTTGAGAAGAAGGTTCCTTAACTGGCTAAGCAACTGTAGTAAGTAATTAAGGCTTATCATTTGGCGCTAATTACATTGAAATTAGCACCCTTCCTAGATAGAAAGATCCCTCCTTTTTGTTCTTGCTATTACTTGAGAACCAACCTCTCTCTAAGGGATGTATACCATACAGATTAAACCAAGTACATCTCATTTTACCATCTTAGGACAATATTTTTGTTATATTGAACTAGTCAAATGCAGAGGGATACTCAGGTATATTTGCCACAAAAACATCTGCTCCTCTTCTCTGTTAAGACCAAACTCTGACTGTTATTTTATCATTGAGAATTGGAATGAAGATTGGAAAACACATTTTAGAGTTATAAATAGGATTATAATTCTCATCTACCACCCTTGTAGTTTATACTGAGCCCACACATCTGACTGAGACAAATGAATTGCAAATACCTGAACTATCGCATTAGGGTAATCCTTCAGCTTTCATAACATTAACTGACAATTAATAACCTTTTCAAGCCATAGATGGCTCCATTAGTACAAATATACCTGCTTTTTTCTTCATCAATTGAATTTTCTACTCCTCTGAGAGTCCAGCTAATGCCTCTTCATCTACTTCTTCTTCATCTTCCATAACGTTTTAATCTTGAGCATGAGCTGGGGGCCTTTCATTTTAGCCTACAATAAAACATGAAACTTGGAGGTAACCCTAAATTTCATTAGGCATCTCAGGGTTGAATAGTGTGACCCAGATTTTGTAGAACTCATGATTTAGGTTTCTATAAAGTGTAGATAGACCAATTGAATGAAACCCAATGAGTTCATTTGTCATCAAAGCATTGTAATCATATACCTCAATTATTAATTCAAAAGTTTCAAGTTCATATTAATTCAAGAAAAGCTCAGAAAATGTGAATGATTGATTCCACACAACCGTATTAGCATTGTATTTTCTCATGGTAACTTGAGGAGGTAAATTTGCACAAGTTATCTTAACGAATGGATCAGATGTACCTGCTGCATCTTTACCCATTAAATTCCTTCCCTCTATTATGGTTACTCCAACGAGATATTCTTTTTTTTCCATAACAATTTACTTTATTAATTTATCAATAAATTTATTAATGTTTCAATTTCTTATCATATTCACTTCTAAGGGGTTTTGGGGTTTTGGGG